TGTAGAATGTGAAGTGAAAGTTGCTCTGAAAGCACTAGGAAGAAATAAATCACCAGGGGTAAATGAAATACCAATAGAATTGTTTCAAGACATGGAATCCATCAAATCCTAACAGAGATGGAATCTGTCAAATCCTAATAAAAATATTCCAACAAATATGGAAAACAAAATAAGTGCTCTCGAACTAGAAACATTCAACATACATTCCAATTCCCAAGAAAGGAGATGCTGAGGAGTGCAATATCTATAGGAACTTTGCTTTAATTTCCTATGCAAGCAACACAATGCTCAAGATGTGGTAACAAAGGCTTATAACTTACGTGGAGCAAGAAATGACTGATGTTCAAGTTGGATTCCAAAAAGAGGCATCTGAGATATTGCAAATATCCTTGGACTACTAGAGTGCACCAAAGAATTTCAGAAAAGCATCAGTCTAAGTTTTATACATTACAACAAAGATCAGTCTATAGACTACAGCAAAGCCTTTGACTTTGTGGATCATGAGAAACTATGGGTAGTTCTGAAAGAAATGGGCGTGTCAGCACTTTATTGTTCTGATGTGCAACTTATATTGTGGACGAGAAGCTACCATTAGGACAGAATGGTTTCCTATAGGCAAAGGTGTCAGACAAGGATGTATTTTATTCCCTTATCTGTTCAATCCAAAGACATAACATGGTAAGACAGACTAGATTCAGATGAAGGAGGAGTGGAAAAAACATCAACAATTTAAGATATGCAGATGACACCATCTTACTGGCATAAAGCAGAACTGACTTGAAACGCCTGTTAGGGGAAGTGAAAGAAGAAAGTGCCAGAGCAGGACTGCAGTTGAACACAGTGAAAGATTTTGTACACCTTAGTGCAATCATCAATCCATATGGAGACTGCAGCCAAGAAATCAGAAGACGACTGAGATTCAGAAAGGCAGCAATGAGGGAATTAGAAAAGATCATCAAGTGTAAGCACATGTCACTGGGGACCAGGACCATTCACATTCTTGTATTCCAGATCACCTTGTATGGATGCGAAAGCTGACAGGAACAAAATTGATTTGTTTGAAATGTGGTGATGAAGGAGAGTTTTGCGGATACCCTTTTTTTTTCTGTGCCTGCTCTGAACAAATGGCTCCTATAACAAATAAAGGCTGAACTCTCTCTAGGGCAAAAATGCTGAAATGCAGGTTGTCCTATTTTGGGCACAACATGAGAAAGCAAGATTGTCTAGAAAAGACAATAATGCTGGGAAAAGTTGAAGGCAACAGAAAAAGAGGAAGACCAAATATGAGATGGATTGACTCCCTAAAGGAAGACGCAGGCTTGAGTTTGCAAGAGCCAAGTAGGACTCTTAAGGCCAGGATGTTTTGGAGATTGCTCATTCATAAGGTCACCCATAGGTCAGAGGTGAGTTGACAGCACATAACAAGCATAACTTTGAGCTATGCATGTAGAGCTGTGAAACATGATTTCAGTCAGTGTTTCTACTAATCTCCTTTTTCTTTGCTCCATCAACAAATCATAAATAATAAAATAATAGAATGCCTGTTTATCTAGACAAATCCTTATTACAAAAAGTGGCTTGTTTCCAGCATGGTAAAGAGTGGTTCTTTGATCATGTGATTGCTACAACATAACATAAAATACTAAGGGCTGAGAACAACTGTACTAGGCCAACAATGTATGCAGGCCAAAATGTCCATCTGTAATAATAATAATTATGTCCCATCAAGTCAATTTCGACTTTTGGCAACACTTTCCAGGGTCTTCTAGGTATATAGCATATGGACGTGGTTTACAATTTCCTTCTTCTAGGCCAGACCTGGGCAAAGTGTGGCCTGAGGGCCACATACGGTCCGCGAGCCGCTCCTGTCCGGCCCGCAGACAGTTTTGAACATCAAAACCATTTATAGCTTTTTGTCTAAAGTTGATCAGTTACTTATCTTTAACAAACCGCAAAAAAAACTCTTCAGTATTTGTGAAGATTAACAAGTTTATAATAAAAACAATCATAACATCACTCTTTCATTTTATTTTTAAGTAAAGTTGGTTCGGCCCCCGAACACAGTTCAGATTTTTCATGTGCCCCCCCCATAGAAATTAATTGCCCACCACTGTTCTAGGCGCACTCTGGGATCATTTAACTTGCTCAAGGCAACAGATTGATTCCACATTGTGCTTCTTCAGAGAAGAGCCAAACTCCCAATTAGAAATGGGCACAAACCACGCTTTGGCCCATTGACCACACAGATGTTCTGTGGATGCTCGTGCACTTCCTTCCCCTGCCTCTTTTGCATATTTGCCCACTCGCTGGTTCCAGTGCGCTTCCTTCCTCTGCCTTCTCTGCAATATTACCCACTTAGATGAGGAGGCAAGACAGGTAAACCCATGGTGCTGCTGGTAAGTGAATAATTGTGCAGAGGAGGCAGAGGGAAATGTTCTATAGCCGGAGAGCAGGCCAGTGTGCCGAAGCAGCAGGTTGCCCATGGGACACCTGTGCAGGTGCTGTGCTAAACCAGGCCAAACCACTGAAGCACAATTTGTGCCCATCTCTACTCCCAACCTCTAGCTCTCCAGCGCAATACCAAACTCACTGAACCAGCAATGCAAATGATCCAGATGGGACTTAACACCACAATCTCCAGCTTCAGAGGCTGATGCCTTAGCCACTAGGTCACTGGGTCAATCACCCTTCTGTGCCTGCTCTGAATACAATTCAGAACAGCCCAATCTTTAAAAACAATCTGACAGATTGCTTTGGGAAACAGGATGCTAGACTGGATGGACCATTGACCTAATCAAGAAAGGTCCTTCCTAAGCTCTTAACTCAATATGGCTGTGCATATTCACTTCATCCATATAAAACTTTAAAAGTTCCATCATGTGAAAAAAACTACACAGTGTACAAGACATTGCTCAGATAAATTTTTAAAAAGTGGGGGGAGGAGGAGGAATAGCATCTGCATACCTGCAGCAATATATTATGCAGTCTCAGCTACTGGGAACTGAGAATGCATAATATATTTGAAGTCATCCACACATCCCTTTTTGGCCCCCTCTTTATGGTATGGAGGTCATTTTGGCCTCTTGAACCAATGAAGCATAAGCTCTGGCAAGTTCCAAGCCAGTAAGGCTTTGAGTACCACCCTGGGCAGCAGCACGCCTGCCTTTTGTCTCTTCCCTTGCCTATTTAAATAAAGAGTCATTAGTAGAGGGTGGCCACCAAGGGAAGCAATTTCCACACCACCACCATGGAATTGTTAGGATCTGTATCCTGGGGTCTGTCTGCACTGATGAAATCACAGGTATCCAAGGTACATTATCACTATTTTCCCACCACAGGATACTATCTCAAGCTGATGCTGTCAGTATTTGGACTGACAATTCTTGAGCAATTCAAAGTGTTGGCTTATTAATATATAATATAATTAGAGAGGTTTTTTCTTAACATCTTACTTCATAGAGGAGCAGAATATGAACTGCCTAATTCACTTCAGCTCCACTTGACTCCAAATGGCTCCCCCCCCCAACCCATTACACTTTTCCTCCACAACTTCCCAACCTTACTTTTCTGACATTCAGGCCCAAATGACATCGTAGAAGCAAATATTTTGAAGATGCCTCTGTCCTGCAAGGAAGGTCATGGTTCCATTACGCCTGTGTAGTTACATCAACATGCTACACCCTACATAGACATTTACTGCATGTGAATGTAGGCCTGAAAACACAGCCATCAAGTTTAATAATCAATAAAAGAACAATGTGGTCAGGCACATAAAATGGAGTGCTCCACAGTCGAAGTATCACTACAAAAAGCTTCCTTTCCTTGTTAGCCAACATCTAGCAATCTCCCGTGCCTGGGGCACCAAGGAGAAAGGAGCCTGATGATAATGCTAACTGGCTGTCTGATTCATGCGGAAGGAAGAAGTCCTTTAGGGTAACTGGACTTGTCTCTTCTTCTAGCACCTAAGTTTGAGAAACAGGTTTAAGCTATTAAAGTATAATAGAAGTCAGTACCTCTTTTAACATAACCACAATCATCTGGAACATTAGCATTAGGGCAGTGAAGCACATTAGGAGACATTCACTCAAAATTACAACAGACACCAGTAATGGGCAAAGTCCACACTACAGTATTTCAATTTTTTTAAACAGAAAAAGTGAAGCCAATCATAAAGATCATAACCTTCCAAGGTACAGAACACCATTTTTGCATATCACACAGAACTTTACAAATTGCAAAATAAATGTCTAGTATTGTTAATCATTCAAACCATGTTCAGAAGTGAGTTAAGAAAAAGGAAGTGTGAGCAAACAAGGATAACCCTGCACTCTTTTCAGGTTCTCCCAGGCTCGAAGCTAGGTTTAAGCCCAGCTCATAGAGATGGGGGACCATTAAGGGCAGCAAAACCACAGCAAATAGAGAGGGGCCAGTACGCCTGGCAGCCACTTGTTTTCACCCATAATCAGAGTTCAAATTTTATTTAAGCAACCCAGCACCTACATTTGAGCACCTGTTCTGAATATCAAAGAGCTTTGCAGTGAAATAAATAACTTGCAAATAGTGCCTCTGACCACATACAAAGTGCATTTCCTTCTTCGTTCGCTCACCCCAGATCCCAAACATCCAGAAGACAGGGAGGCCCAAAGGGGCCACATCCTGCCTCTCCACACCAATCCCGCCCCACAGAAGGGGCCCTTTTAAGCTTCCGGCGCCTATGGGCTGTCTGCTGTGAAGCAAGAAATGGACTTGATTCGTGATCCAAAAGTAAATCTCCCGTCATCCCCACCGTTGGCGGGGCTCAGGCCTCATCCAAAGGATAACACCCTGGAAAAGAAGGCACCGGCAACCTCCCTGATCTCTACCTAGGCTCCGGGACGAAGTCAAAATGCGGGGAAGCCCAGCCCGGCCGTAAGCCGTCTGCTGACACACACGCCCTGGGCGACGCGGCCCCGCCTGCCAGGTGGCTGGCTGGCTGGCGTCGCCAAATATAGGAGAGAGAACGCAACGGCTGCAGCAGCAGCATCTCCATCGCGGCTCCTCCGCTCGGGCTGCTCCCTCCTTAGAACGCCGGCACCGAACGCCAGCGCCAGCACCATTCCAGCCGCGAACGCGAGGACACCCCCCGGCAGAACGCCCAGAACGGGGCAAGGCTGGCCGGGAATGGAGCAGCCGAGCCTCTCCCGCGGGCGAACGAGGCGCCGAACGAGAGCCAGCCAGCCAGCGGCGCTGCCACCGCCGCCGCCGCCTCTTTCCTTCTGCCGACCGAACTGCTGCTGCCTCCGCCCAAGCGGAGACGAGACGAGTCGCCCTCCCTGCTGCTGATGCTGCTGCTGCTTCTCCCCTCACGTTCTTCTAAAAGACTCTGCCAAGCCGCGACTTCCGGGGATCGGGCGCGGGAGACCGAACCCTTTTACCCCCCCCCTTAAAGCAGGTGGGTGACGTCAACACGCAACTTGTGTGGCGGCTGTGGGGAGGGAGAATGGGAGGGACGACTGTCCTCCGGGCGCCCCTTTCCTCCTCTGCGTGCTTCGTCGAGCGCGCGCCGGCGGTTTCGCGTGGCGGGGGGCGGGAAACAGCTGGTGCCGGCGGGTGTGTGTGTGGATGGACAGGGCCGGCAAGGCGTGAGGGAAAGGCTGCCGTGACAGAGCGGTGAGGTTGGGGTTGCACTTTTATGAACTGCGGGTTTGGGAATGCAAGCCGGCCCCTTTTGTCCTGACCCGTTTCCCCGAACCGACGTCCTTCCACATGGTGTGAACTACGATTCCCATCAGTCCCCGCGAGCAAAACCAATAGGGCGGGGGGGAAGCAACTCGGGAAGACACACTGGCCTGCATTATACTTGAACTGGGGGAGACTGATATAGGCCGGAATGGCTTTGCTCACTTTTGAACCGGGGCAATAGGCCACCAAGCTCAGCCTTGTCTCACCGGTAGCCAAGCATGGGAATACAACCCAAGTACTGTACCAGTCTAGTGAGAGGCGGATTCCTGGGGAAGACATCATTTTCTGCTGTTACTTTTGGCTTTATTTTTCAAATCATACAGCAGTTCATTTTCCTCGTCTCTGCCTTCATTCCACTCCCTCTCTCCGTGTGTCTTTGGGCTACAGACTCACTTATTTAGAAGAACAGAGTGTACTTTTTCTTAGTAGACAAGACATTTATGCAAACATGGGGAGGAGGGCAGTATATAGATATGTGACATCTAATGGGGGGGCAAACATCTAATTTTTGGGGGGGACTTCACATATCGGAATTACACCACTCCTTCCTCTAGTTTACTGTTGTCTGTAAGGCATCATATGTGCTTAAGCACACTCAAAATCGCTGTTGATTTTGCTCCTGTTCTCTATCCAAAGTCCTAAGGATTAAATACTGTAAAGACATTAAACAATTTAAGACAGCATAAAACAGTTTGACAAGGTAGAGCAATAATATATTGGGTAATAGCAAAGAATTATAAGGAATAGGTGAAAATGTTCCTCCGTTTTATGCACAATCTAGTGAAATGCACATTATGAGACAGAGAGATTATGCCTTCCTGAAGGCCACCCACTTCATGGTCGAACATAAATTTGAACCTTACTGCAACTTTACACAATATGACTGCAGTCATAAATAGTCTTTCTGTGAAGTAAGCCGGGCTGCCTGTGAGATTCAGTTTCAGGGTAATCGTGCACAGAATTCCATTTCACATCCCAATGAAATCGGTGGATCTTACTTTCCTAACAGCAGAATCGTCTCCATGTCTACTCAGAAGTAAGCCCTACTGGATTTCATGTGCCTTATTTTCAAGGAAACATAACAGTTTTGGCGCACCCACAAACTCTGTACTCCATGTTTTCCTACTCCCAGATGCAATCCCACTGTTGTTCACACCATGACATTGTCGATTGTGTAGGAATCCCCCCCAAAAGAAAGTACAGTGGACCCTCGACTTACAGACGGCTCGATTTACAGACTTTTCGAGTTACAGAGTTCTCTGGCCGCAGAATTTAGATTCGACTTGCAGCCGGAGAATCGACTTACAGACCAGAAAAAAACCAAAATGGGACAAAAATGGAACAAAAACGGCCAGTTATGGGATTAATTGGTTTTCAATGCATTGTAGGTCAATGGAGATTCGACCTACAGACTTTTCAACTTGCAGCCACCGTTCCAATACGGATTAATTCCGTAAGTAGAGGGTCCACTGTACAAGTTTACAGGATTTGAATGTATAACTGAGCTAATCAAGAGTCTCTTTGCGATGACTTTGCTTGGAACTACAATGGTAGCAGTGGACAATTACAAATATAGAGAACAATGGCACAGAGCATGATGAGAAGTGGTGGCCTTTGCATATTATCAAAAGGACAAGATTCCTTTATAAATGAAGAAAAACATTCACCAAGAGGTCTTCTTGCACAGGACCATTGAAATGAACGGGCACTGAACAAAGACAGTTCAGGTAAGTTTCTTGAGCAGCATTCATTTCCAAATGACTTTCAGGGCATAACTTGCAGGTGGCCTATGCTCTGGTTTAAGGGACAAACAATGAATATCAGGGAAATATTACTTTTTCCATCAAGGGAATCGTGATGGAAGCAGAGATTGAACTTGGATGAGATCCACTTTGCCTGTACCAGATTAACTGAAAATTTCAGCAAACAAATACAGGTAATTCATTTATTGCACTGTGAATCTGATATAATAAAATTGTCAAATCATTAATATTAAAATTGACATAGAATGGGACACAGAATAAAATGCAATTCAGAAACACTTTCAGCCTTCAAATAAAACATTTATTGCATTCTGAAGATATAAAATTTTCAAATCATTAATATTAAAATTGAACAGGACATACTATAAAATACAATTCAGAAATAAATTCAAAATAATAAAAAGAATAATTAAAAGCAGAGTTTGCATAAATATGGCAATGCCTCCTGTGGTGGCAGGTTCAAGACTAGATTTGGCATAACATTTCATGAACTGTATTTCACTTCTTCAAATGATTGGAGTGTAGAACCAGTGGACAGACATTCGTACAAGCATGGAGAGGTGTGCATTGTGTAGATACATTACTTCTTGCAAACATTTCTATTTTGCACTTCATAAGTACTGCCCAGATACGAAAATTACATCACTTCTCCCACTAGTTAACTGTTTTTATCAAGCATGTAAATGGTAGTAGCAGTATTCATTATTTAATGTATTCATGCGCCACATTTCTGGCATAGTTTTCATGAACTGTACAGTATTTCACTTCTTCAAATGATTGGAGTGTAGAACCAGTGGACAGACATTCGTACAAGCATGGAGAGGTGTGCATTGTGTAGATACATTACTTCTTGCAAACATTTCTATTTTGCACTTCATAAGTACTGCCCAGATACGAAAATTACATCACTTCTCCCACTAGTTAACTGTTTTTATCAAGCATGTAAATGGTAGTAGCAGTATTCATTATTTAATGTATTCATGCGCCACATTTCTGGCATAGAGCACTTAGATTTGATTACATCAATGGAAAACAGCCTGAATACGACAATTATGTGACTAAATGAGAAAAACACATCAGTTAAAACAATAAAATAGGAAAAAAGCCAATAAAAATTTAATTCAAAAAGCCAGCAACAAAATTACAAATACATGCCTATTAATTTTTTTTAAACTGTCAAGAGGGTAGTGAGGCAGTCTGTGACATCTCACTGGAAAGAGTATTCTCCATCTGCAACTCCATAAGGGAGAAGGTTTGGTTTCCTGAATGTTTCTGCTTCCTAGTCAGCATTGACCAGATCTCCAAAACAGATATAAACAGATATAGAAGTCATAGTTCTATGTGGGAATAGCCGATCCAAACCCAGTGGACAGACATTCATAGTTCTATGTGGGAATAGCCGATCCATAAGGCAGAGCAGGGAACTGTATTCTGGGGCAGTGAATCCCCTCCCAATCAATATTTATTTTATTTATTTGTTTGATTTACGTATATCCCGCCCATCTGGTATGTTCTACCACTTAATATTTATTCCTAATATTTTGATGTTCAGCCCCGCTACCTCTCATATTAGTTTTCTTCATGAAGTGCCAAGGTATACCTCATCCCATATATCAGTGTTTTATAAACCTGTGTAATTGTGTTGCAGACCACCCTGAGGTCCAGTTTTCAGAGAAGACAGAATATAATCTAATTAGCTACCCATTGCAATAAGCAGCAGTAAAATTGTATTTGCAAACACTGCTCCAAATTTCACAAACCTAATGCATTATTTTATGTTTGTTTGCAAAGGTTTATTTGCCACCCATTTGCAAAGGTGCTATTGTAAGAAAAGATGGATTCGATTCCGAAAAAGAAGGAATAAAATTGATGGAATAAACATTAGAAATTTAAGATATACAGATGATATGTCACAGGTAGAAAACAGCAATGATGCAAAACAACTGAGGAAGTGCAAAGGCAGGGTTACAACTATTAAGGCACAAATAATGACTACAGAAGAAATGCATAATTTTACAGTTGACAATGAAGAAAATGGAATAGTTAGAAATGCTCTGAATCTACTCTGTATTAACTCATATGGAGACTTCAGGCAAGAAATCAGAAAAATGAGATTTAGAAAAGCAACTAGAGGCAACCCTTAAGAGTAAGAATGTGTCGCTGGAGACCTGGACCAACATCTTCTGTACTACGGCATTCCCAGTTTGTAGGGACAGATGAGAAAGCTATACAGGGAGGAAAACTCAAAGGGAAAAAGTTGATTCATTTAGAATGTTCTGTTGGAGGAGTGCTTTACAGATACCATGGACTACCAGAAAGACAAATTTGTGGGTTCTGGAGAGCCTGACCTCTCTAGAAGTGAAAAGGACCAAGCTGAGGCAATCATATTTTGAGTGTATCAGGTGAAGATAAGACTCAGTGGGAAAAGACAATAATGCTGGAAGGGCTAAAGGCAGCAGGAAAACAGAATGACCAAATGAGGTGGATCATCTCAAGAGATAAGAGTTTGCAAGACCTGAGGAAGACTATTAATAATGGGACCCTTTTCATTCGTTTAGTCATGTCTGACTCTTCGGACTATTAATAATGGGACCCTTTTCATTCATTTAGTCGTGTGACTCTTCGTGACCCCATGGACCAGAGCACACCAGGCCCTCCTATCTTCCACTGCCTCCCAGAGTTGTGTCAAATTCATTTTGGTTGCTTCGATGACAGTGTCCAACCATCTCATCCTCTGTCATCCCCTTCTCCTCTTGCCTTCACACTTTCCTAACATCAAGGTCTTTTCCAAGGAGTCTTCTCTTCTCATCAGATGGCCAAAGTATTGGAGCACTCAGGGTTGATTTCCTTTAGAATTGATAGGTTTGTTCTCCTTGCAGTCCAGGGGACTCTCAAAAGCCTCCTCCAGCACCACAATTCAAAAGCATCAATTCTTCGGCGGTCAGCCTTCTTTATAGTTCAGCTAAAGGGTCCCCCTTTATGGGACCCTTTAGAGGTCACTAATTCATAGGGTCTCCAAAAGTTGGTGGTGACTTGACAGCACATAACAATGGTGAGTTTTGCATGTTCCGCACAGTAATCATATGCGTGCTTATTTGTAAATACAGTGGTGCCTCAACTTATAACCATAATCCGTTCCAGAAGATGGATGCAAGTCGAAATGGTCGTAAATTGAAGCACCA